TAAAATGTATATGCCCCCCCTCCGCCAATCTTGCTGTCCAGGGAGACTGTGGGTAGCTTGCTGTCATACACATAGAATCTCATTCACACGAGGCCAGAAAATTGCTCTAGCTTATGATGTATGAAAGAAGAAAAGCAGAATAATTGTCAAGGGTATCACAGATATTAGGCCCATAACTCCTATTACTCTCAAATTGCTTGAGGCAGTACTGTTGTGGGACTGATGGATGTTCTGGGCTAAAACTGACAAGATTCAGATTGGAAGGAGGCTAATTAAAACCTTGCTCAAATACACACATCTGTGAAAAAGGGGGAAAGAAAATGGGAACAGATAAGCACTAAACTCAAAGTGTTTGAACAGGTCTACGCTATAGTACTGTACTAAAACACAAGATAACTGAAAGTTTTGTTGCATCTTAAATTATAAGAGTTTAAGGTGGTATCAATTACTTTGTATCAGATATTATTGAGATATACATATATACAAAATATTACAAAATATTAAATGTTGGTGCATGCTAGTGCTCAATATAGATCTACGTATTATTAAACTCCAATTCTAAAAGCTGGTCAGGTAGGAAGAGTGGAAAACAGGCATGTGCTTCCTTATTCAGATCTACTGCTTCTATTTCATTATATTCAGCCTAGAGAACTTAAATATATTAAGAACAGAGTTCCAGAGATTAAAATAAACTTATTGTGTATGAGGCAGTCCTCAAGACATTTTGTTTATTTAAAATTTCTATGTGAAGTCTGGATGTTTTAAAAATAAAACCATATTTTTAAAATGTAAACAAAATGAATAGTTGCTTTGTTGGACAAAAATGGAGGGGGGCAGATTGCAATGTTTTGTTATGTATTTTGTAAACTATTCTGTTAGAAGAGAACATATAGCGGAAATGGACTGTAACCTATTCTAAATAAAACTTTTGTTGTATCTTATGTAGGCCAATATAGTGACAAGTGCATTCTTGCATGTGTGCAGAAAGCTAAAACACTGATTTGTTTTCAACAAATTTACTCAGCCTATTTACTTCATTTCTTGACTCTAGGTACGTGTTCATGAGAAATCTAATCTATAGAAACAAGCAAACACAGCCTGTGTTTTGGTGCCCTCTATTGAATACATACACACAGATTTCAACAGGACTTCATCAAAAATTCAGCCTACAGTAACATACAATAGATGAGGTTGCCCCTTTTCGCTCTTAAAAAGAAAACAAATAATGAGTATTAAAGTTTGAATACAGAGTTAATTAATATTAAAAGTAGACTCTGTTAAGAATAGGCTCAATGGAACCAAATGGGAAATTACATCTCATTGATTTCAATGGTTTTGCTCTATGAATTGTTGGAAACAATTCCTACATAACTTATTATTATTCTTGAATAGAAAAAAAATCCAGAAACAAATTATGTTTGTATTTAAATGGAAAGAAACAAAACTAAACATTCTGAGCTTGAAACAGCTGTTTCAACTTTTCTTCTACTCTGACTTGATTTACAGATAGTGCTCGACCTAAACAATTCATTTAATGACCATTCAAAGTTACAAAGGCACTGAAAAAAGTGACTTATGACCATTCTTCACATTTACGACCTTTGCAACATCCCCATGATCATGTGATCAAAATTCAGATGCTTGCCAACTGTTTCATATTTATGACCATTGCAGCGTCCCAGGGTCATGTAATTCCCTTTTGCAACCTTCTGACAAGCAGTCAATGGGGAAGCCAGATTCACTTAACAACCAAGTTACTAACTTATCAACTGCAGTGATCCACTTAACAACTATGGTAGGAAATTTCATAAAATGGGGCAAAACTCAACAAATGTCTCATTAACAACAGAAATTTTAGAGCATTTGTGGTCATAGGTTGAGGACTACCTGTAGTTGTTTAATTCCTTTAACCATGGAACCTTGCAGAGAACCTTAGCAAATAACAGGCACAAAATTAATTTCTCCTGCTATAAACTATTGAAAGGAGCAATTGGGACCGAAGGTAAGTTAAATGCATGCTCCAAGATTGGAGCCGTTTTGGATATAAGCCACATTAGAACTACTGTTATCTAGAAGTCAGTTGGCATTTATGGTATCCTTGGTTCTCTCTCTCTCTCTCTCTCTCTTTAATGTATTTCACACTTGAGTACCCATGCAAGATTATGTTGCTGCACTCTGCAAGAAGAAATCAATTACTCCAGATCTCATAGCTTCCAGGAATTAAAGACCTAGTAGTAGTAAGCCACCACTGATGAGTCTTCAAGAAGTGACAAGGAGAAAGTTCAAGGTCGACTCAGCCTTCCATCCTTCTAAGGTTGGATGGCTGAGGACCCAGATTGTTGGGGGCAATATGCTAACTCTGTAAACAACTTAGAAGGAGCTGTAAAGCACTATGAAGCGGTATATAAGTCTAAGTGCTATTGTTGTTATTATTATTGTTTTCATCTGGGATCTGATATGGGGAGGAGGTAATGGAAATCATGTAATAGTTTCTCAGAACTTGAAAAAGAGGGTGGCAATTTGATGATATTACAAGCACAATCTTTATCACAAAGGTGAGCTAACCACTTGTCAGTGTATCACTAAGTGATTAGCAAAAGGTTCAAGAATTCCATCCTAAAGAATTTAAGAGATAAAGTGGACATTAAAATAAATATATCCTGTTATCAAGATATCTGTAATCTGTAACTCTTCCTTCTGCATAAACCTTGTTAAAGAAGATTCCACGAGGACTTTGATTCTAGTTATAAGTGGCTGCTAACTGCTTGAAAAATAAAATAGGATAAGCTATTACAGAAAAAGTTAGATATGTGGGGTCAATATTACTAAAATTTAAATATTTGAATTTGTAATGCTTTTATACCTTGACAAGATAGTATATAATAGGTATAGAATAGAAGATGTTCAAAGTCAGTCAATAGACGTGAGCACCAGGGAATACAATAAATAATTTAATAATAATAATTTAGAAATAAAAGTTCTTAAGAATATTAAAAACCTTTAAAACACATAGAAATCAATAAAAGTGCCTAGCTTTCGTCGGCATCTACCGACATCTTCAGGGCTTAGAATGCTGGTCAATGGGAAAGTCCCTTTATAGGTTTAATTAGGGCGTGTGCACGACTCTTCGATCTCGTCACTGGGCCGGTTATACTAGAGGGACTTTCCCATTGACCAGCATTCTAAGCCCTGAAGATGTCGGTAGATGCCGACGAAAGCTAGGCACTTTTATTGATTTCTATGTGTTCTATGTGTTTTAAAGGTTTTTAATATTCTTAAGAACTGTTATTTCTAAATTATTATTATTAAATTATTTATTGTATTCCCTGGTGCTCACGTCTATTGACTGACTTTGAACATGGATATACCTGGGGATCACATTTTTAAAGTAATTTCAGAATAGAAGATATAAATATGATATAAATAAAATATGAGGATAGCTGACTAGAGCAACTTCGGTACAGGTTCAGGAACAAATCTGACAAAACATATCATAGGTTTTATTGTGAGGTTTATACTGCAGTAATTAAGTAAAAGGAAAAAGCAGTGAAACTATCTTAAGAATGTTCTTCTAGGCTGCAAGTAGAAAACCAAACTTCCAAAACATTTGGTTGATGCCCTGGTGCCATCTGAGCTGTTATGAGCAACCATTGATGGTCTTTAACAAACAAGTTCACTTGGATTTGTTCCAAGCTCAGTGTCATTTCTTATTACCATGGCATATCTTATTACCATCTGTCTGATGTCATCAATATGCTAGTTACATTCAGCTAATAACCTCAAGCCTGAACTATTTTATTGTGCTCTTCATGGGAGGTCCTTGAAATGTGAAAAAATGGCAGGATGGTTGATGAATAGATCCTCTTTGAGATCCTTGATTATTTCCATGTTGAAATAATTTATTGATTGCCAATTGTCTTTCACATCTAATTCAAGGTGCTGATGATGCTACTTTATATAGCTTACAGCCAAGCTAATTACAGGACTCCTGTTTCCATATACGCCAAGTCATCAATATACCATGGGTATGTTTGATATCAAAAACTAATTTAATTTTCTCTACTAACTAAAAAACAACAACTAACTCTACTTCTCACTTCTCTACTCCCTTTTCCCTTCCCCATCTTTTCCTCTATTTACTTTGTATTTCGATTGTATCATGTATCATAAATTAATAAAACTTTAAAAATAATAATTTAGTTTTCTCTTTGTAATTTAGGAGGTATCTCAAAGCCTTTTGTGTTTTGGCTTTCATGTGGAGAAGACTTCCTGGCCTGATTAACCTAATGAGGCTGACACCAATTAAAATGTTTCAATCCATTTTGCCTAAGTAATGGTTCTTGTATAGGCTATCAAAGTCATCTTCCTTATACTCCAAAGCAGCTTTCTAAAAACAAAACATCTAAGTTGATTTTTTAAAAAGAAAATATATAGCTAACATTGCTAACATTGTCAACAAATATCAATCTTTAAATTCTACAAGAACCACAGAAAAAGAGTCACATGGCTCATGGCCTGCCATGCTTTACCTAATCTGATGAATGTCTAATATTCAACTATTGAAAGCTTTACTATCATTTTTTCTTTAAAACATCAAAGAGAATACTGGTTCTTTATTACCTCCACATGATTGACTATGGAGCATATCTTTGCCTTGTATGGATTAATTAAATTCTTTTGCTTTTCTTCACACTGCTAAAAAGATTCATCCACGTATCGTTATTTTAAAACAACTTGGTTTTCAAATTCAATAATAACAATACACTATTTAACAAATTGTTGGTTCAAAAAAGGAAACCCCAAAAATTCAAATGCCAGAGTAAAGAAAGCACATCTGCTATGTAAACTTCTTCCATAGAAGATTAGAAGTGCAAATTCATAATTATGGCCACAAGGTGGCTGCCGTGCACAAGAGATGAACTGGTATTGCAGGTATAAGAAATTAACCACTTCATTAAAGCCAATAAGCAACAAACAATTCTCAAAGTTAATCTACTCACTTTTGGAGAAATTCTTGCAAACCTTGGCGACGCTGGTCTACATGCTGAGAATTATTTGAATTAAAAAAGGGAGTTTTAGGTGGAAGGTCTGGTAATTTTCTTTAAAAAAAGAAAAGAACAATTAGTGTTCCGAATGAATACATGACTGAAATTACTTTAGAAGAAATACTGGATTCTTATAAAAAAGAGAAAGAAAAAGAAAAAAGCAGATTCATAATTAATTCATTCACTTATATTCAATTCAATTCAATTCTAGAAAGAGTACAGAGAAGAGCAATAAAGATGATTAGGGGACTGGAGGCTAAAACATATAAGGAACGGCTGCTGGAATTGGGTATGTCTAGTTTAATGAAGAGAAGGACGAGGGGGAACATGATAGCAGTGTTCCAATATCTCAGGGGCTGCCATAAAGAAGAGGGAGTCAAGCTATTTTCCAAGGCGCCTGAAGGCAGGACAAGAAGCAACGGGTGGAAACTAAGCAAGGAGAGAAGCAACCTAGAACTAAGGAGAAACTTCCTGACAGTTAGAACAATTGATCAGTGGAACAACCAGCCTCCAGAAGCTGTGAATGCTCCCAACACTGGAAGATTTTAAGAAAAAACTGAACAATGATTTGTCTGAAATGGTATAGGGTTACCTGCCTGAGCAGGGGTTTGGACTAGAAGACCTCCAAGGTCCCTTCCAACTACTACTACTACTACTACTACTACTACTACTACTACTACTACTACTACTACTACTACTACTACTACTATTATTATTATTATTATTATTATTATTATTATTATTATTAAATGTCAGCTCTATTAATTTGTTGTCAAAAGTGGTCTTGGATTATAATTAAATATAAAGACTTCCACAGACTCCAGTAAAGACAGCTGTTTTCTGCAACCCAAAGATGCCATCGGAAAACTGATAACTTTATGATGAGTGGACAGAACTCATCTTCGACTTATGACCACAACTTATGACCCAAAATTTCTGTTGCTAAGTGAGACTGTTATGTGATTTTAACCCCATTTTACAATCTTTCTTGCCAGAGTTGTTAAGTGAATCACTATAGTTGTTAAGTTAGTTACACGGTTGTTAAATAAATTTCACTTCCCCATTGACTTTGCTTGTCAGAAGTCCACAATAAGTGATCACATGACCCCTGGACAGTGCAATCATCATAAACATGAGATAATTGCCATCCATCCGAATTTTGATCACGTGACCATGGGGATGTTGCAACGGTCATCAGTGTAAAAAACGGTCACAAATCACTTTTTTCAGTGCCGATGTAACTTTGAATGGTCACTAAATGAACTGTTGTAAGTTGAGGACTACCTGTACTTCATTTGATTTTTTTTTATTCCCTAAATATTCTAAGCTTTTCATATGCCTTTTATCTGAAAATTAATGACAAATCCACTTTTCACAATTCCTACCAAAACCTCTAAAATGTCAGGAGCTGCAAAATAAAAAAGGGTTGGATGGTCTCATCATGTTCATGGAATCCAGGAGTGTTGCTATTTATTGGATATCATCTATTGGATTATCTCTTTGATCTAGGAGTATTATCTCTTTGATCTAGGACATGTTATTGGATTAAAATTATTCCGTTCTATTCCTAGGAAAGGAACATTCCAAATCTGAAGTAAAAGTCGAGGATAAAGGAAAGCCCTTGAAAACAATGATTCAGCAATATACAAATTCACAGTTAGGAAGGTTTTAAAACAGTTTGATGTGGTATCTGCATTGATAAACTCTGATTTGTGAATCAAATATGTGTGGATCAAAAAGTATGGTTTGTTAAGTGTCTAAACTGCCAATTCAGTGAAAGTTATAACTGTTTCCTGAAATTATGCCAATTGCTAAAGTATTAAGCAAATGGGAAACAGGAACAGACAAGTAGTTCTAAACACATATTCTTTTATATGCAGAATATTTGACTGTGCATCCCTCTTCTAGCAGCGATCTCAGATGATTTTTTTTATATTGATTTGCTTCTTGTGGCCTCAACTACTGTTATTCGATGCTACTATAATGTCTTTATTATATCTTTCTGTCTTCTTCTGGGTCTGCCTCATGCTCTTTGACCTTCTCCTCTTTGTATATATTCCTTATATGGTATGCAATTCCCAGACATTCTCTCCAGAATGACAAATCTTTTTATTTGCCATCTTTGTTTGTAGTTTAATATTGGTTCTATCCCAATTCTTTCGTTTATAATCTCATTCCTGAGTTTATGCCTTCTAGTTATTCCAGCAACTTTCCTCAAACATCTCATTTCCACAGTAACTTGCATTTATGCTTTATTATAAGTGTCTATATTTGGTACTGGTAACATACGGCGGTGATGAATATGCTTTCTATGAGATGCTCCTTAATACTAATCAGTACTCCAGATTATGTTGTAGGACTGGAACTACTGCCTACAGCGGTTTGCCTTACTGCAAAGCATGTTAATCTCTGTATCTATATTTCCATCTTCTGTAAATGTTGTTTCTAAATATTTGAACTCTGATACTTGTTTTATGCTTATTCCCTCTATTACTATGTTTAAGGTGTACTTTTCTCTTCCGATTACCCTTACTTCTGTTTTTTGTTTACTAATTCTCATATTATTTGTCTTATATTCCTGGCTCATGTACATGAGTTGTTGTTGCAGTTCTTATCAATGCCTGATCATCTGCAAACAATAGTTCTTTGATATTATTTTCTTTTCTGGCCTTAGCTTCTTTGCTTATTCTACCGGTATCAATGTAAAATAAATAACAGTGGTGATAAGATGCAACCATGTTTCCAGATGTTATTATGAAGGGTTCTTATGTGGTTTGTTTTGTTCTGAACTACACTTCTGCAATCACTATGTAAACTTGTATATAATCTAATAGATTATATACAAGTTATATTAAACTTGTATATAATCTAATAGATTTACTCCTCTTACTATGTTTGTCATAGTAATTTCCTATCAACTCTATAAAATGCTTTCTTTTGGTCTACAAATGTGACAAAGAGATTCTTATTGCATGCTATATTCTTTTATATTAGTTATACTAGCTGCATCTGTGCAATTTCTGTGTCTCCTAAAAAGTCCTCCCGTTCTGCTAATTGTGATTCTATAGTTGGACTTAACCTCATTTTTATTATCTTGGCATATATCAGTGATGGCGAACCTTTTAGAGACCGAGTGCCCAAACTGCAACCCAAAACCCACTTATGCATCGTCGGGTGCCAGGTGGGTGTGGCCCATTGGCTGGGTGAGGCCAATTGTGTGGGCGTGGCCCATTGGGTGGGCGTGGCTGCAGTGGTAACAGCAGACTGGGTGGGACTAAAAAGTTCAATCAATCAATTCCAACTTTACAAGATCTTTTTTTTTTCCGTGAGAAGTTGAAATTGACTGATCGATTGAACCTCTTTTTTTTTTTTGCACATGGCGGTGGAGGCCTAAAGTGAAAAGGTTTTATAAAACCCAGCTGAAGGCCTAGGACTGGGGCGACGGCGCGCGTGCCCACAGAAAGGGCTCTGAGTGCCGCCTCTGGCACCTGTGCCATAGGTTCGCCACCACTGGCATACATTTTCCCTGCATGGCTCAAGAATGAGATGCTTCAGTACTGTGTGCATTCTCATTGGCTCCCTTTCTTTTGCCATAGTAATATTATTATTGCTGGTTATCGGTTAGTGGATGCAGTTAGTTGTGTCCATGCTGCATTAAAGATTCTATATATCCATCTGATGTTATTTTCCCCAGATGCTTGAATTATTTCTGTTGGTAGCCCATTCTGGTGATTTATATTTATATGACTCTTGCTACTTGTTCAATTAATATTTCTGGTTCTAGTGCTGTTACATTGTAGTCTTGCATTGTTTTTTCATCATAGTTTCCTAAGGGATTGAGGAGTTCTTTGAAGCATTCTCTCCACTTTTTTATTATTTCCGATGGTTCCGTTAGTGGCTTTCTGTTCTTATCATTAATTATTTCTGTGGGGTTATACTTCTCTTCTTTTTTCCATATACTTATGACTACTTTGTAAAACATCCTGCAGGTTGTTCTCTCATTGTCTGCTAAAGATTTTCTCAAGCACTCCCAGGATTGTTGATTGCTTGCTTGATTATACTGTTGGTATCTCTACACTGTAATCTACAGTTTATATAATCTTCTCTGATTTTACCAACATTTATACAAGTAGTCCTCAACGTACGACCACAAGTGAGCCCAAAATTTCTGTTGTTAAGTGAGACATTTATTAAGTGAGTTTTGCCCCATTTTACAACATTTCTTGCCAAAGTTGTTAAGTGAATCACTGCAGCTGATAAGTTAGTAACCTGGTTGTTATATGAATCTGCCTTCCCCATTAACATTGCTTATCAGAAGGCTGCAAAAGGAGATCACATGACCCTGGGACGCTGAATCATCATAAATATGAACCAGTTGGCAAGCATTTGAATTTTGATCACACGTTCATGGGGATGCTGCAAAGTCGTAACTGTAAAAAAAGGTCAAGTCACTTCCAGTGCCGTTGTAACTTCAAATGGTCACTAAATGAACGCTTGTAAGTCGAGGACTACCTGTATAACTCTTTTTTCAATTTTATTGCTTCTTTAGCCTCTTTAGCCTCTTCACACCATCATGCAGTGGGTTTGTTCCATTCCGCCTTTTTCCACTTTTCCTTTTTTTCACAGAGTTCTTCTGTGAAATTAAGCAGGATAGTTCTGTATTCTTTCCATTCATCCTCCATGTTTCCCACCTGTAGTGGCAGTTGACTAAATGCTGTCTCCACCTCTTGTTGCAATTGTTCTACCACTTCCTTTTAAGTTTTGCTGTCTTAATGATTTCCTCTTTTTATTTGGTATTTTTCTGTTAATATTAGGTTTATCTTTTTTTTTGTTATTAGCACTACAATCTTATTATTAGCACCACATAGTCCACTGGGATTGTTTTTGTATCTTTTATTTTATTTTATTTTATTTTATTTCCTTTTTATTGCTTTTGCACTGAGTGTTATGTATCTTCTGCTTATTTTTATTAATGTGTAATTGATCTGACTTTTGGTAGTGATCTCATTCCATTTATATGTTGAGTCTTGATGTTCAAAAAAGGTATTAATGATAAAAAGATGATGTTGGCTGCATAAATCCAGTATATTTTGCCCATTCTCATTCCTTTCACTCTGTTCTTAGCAACATGTGAGCCAATGAACTGCTCAGACTTCATAGTACCCATTCTAGCACTTAAATCTCCCATTACATACTAGTACACTGTTAGCTTCCATTTTCTCTATTTCCTCAGTAGTTCATTGAAGAATTAATCCTTTTGTTCTTCTGCGTAATTATCATTACATGATGCATATAATTGTACATAGGTTTTAATTTGCTCTTCTGTCTTGATTTTCAGTATTATTATTCTGTCAAGAAGAAATGCATCAGCTTAATGTGAAGCTTGTGAAAAAGGCAATTGAAGAAAACTAAGGGATTAACAGAGCAAAATGCAAGCTTATAAATACAAGAAAGGTTTGTGAATTAAAATGTGAAGATGTCTCTGTGTGTAGAACAATACAGGAAATATTAGAAATAATAGGAAAAAAATCTATTCAGAGCTATACAAAGATCAAGACTACTCAAAAGTAACAACTCCCATGAAAAAGGAAATGGCAGATATACTAGTGGAGGAAATATTACGTTTCCTAAAATCAATAAAAAATGCCAAAGCTTCAGGAAATGACTGTGTTACGGTTGAAATGCTGAAAGCTGGTGGTCCGAGTTAACACAAGATACTAGCAAAACTATACTCGAGATGCCTCAGAAAAGAAAAATACCTGATGCATGAAAAAATGCTGAAGTGATTGTTATACACAAGAAAGGGGCCAAGATGATTTAAAGAACTATCGCCCAACAAGCCTTCTTTCAGTCATTTACAAGGTTTTCACCAAAATAATAGCAGTAAGAATGTTGACAACATCAAACGATGAACAGCCAAATGAACAGATAGAGTTCAAAAGTGGCTAGAGCACAATGGATCACATCCAGGTTGTTCGGCAAGTCATTGAAAGGCACAATGAGTATACCATACCTCTGTGCATGGCTTTCATTTACTATGAAAAGGCTTTTGACTCAGTTTTCCAGCAAGCAATAATTAATGCATTGGTAGATACTGCTTACATAAACTTACTACAATCAATATATGAAAAAATGCCAATTTGCCTTAAGGATCTTAAAGTGGAAATCAACATAGAAATCGTATATTGCAAGGTGATACAATATCACCTATCCTTTTGTCAGCCTGCCTTGAAGAAGTATTTCACAAACTAGATTGGGCAAAAAGATGGAATAAAAATCAATGGCTCCTATTTAAATCACTTAAGATTTGCAGATGATGTTTTTTCTTCTCACAAGACCCAGAAGAGTTACAAAGACACATACAAGAGCTGCAGAAAGCAAGAGAACCATATGGCTTAAAAATAAACCTGAAAAAGAGCCAGGTTATGTTTAATAAATCACCAAATAAAGAAAAAAATATTATCTGGAAAAGAACTAGATGTAGTACACCACTACATATACCTTGGCCAATGGATCTCAATGAAGGTAATACAATAAAGGAAATTGAATGGTGTGCTAAATGTGGTTGGCAGGCATTTGGCAAGCTAAGCATAATTTTCAAGAACAACATTCCCCTACGCCTGAAAAGAAAAGTTTTCAATTAACGTGTGCTGGTGAAATAGGGACACTAACCTCACAATAGATACAAACGCTTCAAGTGGCGCAATGAGCCATGGAAAAATACATGCTCGACATTACGAAACAATTTAGAAAGACCTACACATGGATTAGAGAACAAACGAAAAGTATACAATATCATCAAGAGAGTAAAAGAATGGAAATGGAAATGGGCTGATAATGGCAGGTGGGCCAAGGCAATCATAGAATGGATCCCACTTGATAAAAAGCATCCATGAAAGAGACGTAAAACAAGTTGGATCAATGACATCAGCAAGTATTGTGGGTCCAATTGGCAAAATAAAGCTCAGGACCATATTAGTTGGAAACATGTGGAAGAGGCCTTCATCCTGCAGTGGATAGACAATAGCTAAAATGATGGTGATGATGACTAAAATGAGTTAATGTCTAGTATGCATTTTGCTGTGTCTGAATCTGCCAAGAAGATCATTCCATTCTTTGCTGTATCCCCTCCTAAGCAGATAAGTATCCTTTATGAATTTTATTACTACCATGTCCTTTGTGTCTTATATCGGCTAGTCCCATTATTTTGATTTCTTCTTCTTTCCATTATTTCAAAATTTTCTGTTTTATTTCCTAAGCCGGTCATATTCAAAATTCCTGTTTTGTACTTTGCTGTTCTATGATCCTTTGACATTGCCACGATTATTTCTCATTGGCTGTGTCCATTTGTATTCCATGTGGATTTGTGTAGCTCTATAATGTCCATTGCTGACTTACAGGGTCTGTCGCAACTTCACTAGATCCCCTTTAGCCAGGCCATTTCAGGATGGCCCAGGATGCTCTTCATGGCTGCCATAACAGTCCTGTGGCAGCAGGCCATGCCATACTTCTGCAGTCTTAAAAATCTCTGATTTTATCCTGTTACCACCTCTCACAAAATGGACATGGGGTTGGGCTTTGAGATTTTAATATGCAATGTTGCTAAATTTAATTTTCAAGCTTCAAGATTGTGTCAGGGATGTACAGTGTACAGTGAAAAATAAGTCATAATAAGTCATAAGTTGTATATGTTCATTATATTAGTTCTCTAATTTTTGCCTTTCCTTCGTTGGAAAAGGAACATAACAAACTGAAACTGAAATTTAATCTAAGGATTGCCTAACCACTTAGATTTGAATTCTGTGCTATTGAATTAGTATGTCAAAAAAGACTTACAGATAGATAAAGATCAGTGACCGGAAAAAAAGCAAAGAGATGAAATTTCTAAGGATCATACTGCATATTATGCAAATTATATAAAATGCTGTAGGTTTTACAGGTTCTACCTATTCACTGTATATGTGCCGGATTCCAATTAGGATTATCATGGGTGGGTACCGCTGTATAAATCTTGAATTATTTTAATGTTTTGTAAATTACTTACATTAATACAGCATTGCTTTGAAGTTTCTTTCTGAGCCACACAAATTCTCGAAAACGGCGTCGAACACAAGATGTTTTTCTTGTAAAACACATGCTATTTGTCTACAGAAACATAGAATGTGTTTGATTAGTTGAGATTAGTGACACAGTATTTTCCCAGAACCAATAATTTGCAATCCAAAATATTGATAGTCTGAATAGTTAGCTAATGAATGCGCCATACCTTCATTTCTAAACTGATTCTGTTTCCTAGGAAGCATGAGAAACATTCTGTTCCCATCTAACAAGAAAAAAATTTGTTTCTTGAAAAGGGGGAGGATTAAACAAAAGGATTGAAAATTTCCACTGAACTTTCTTTCTTGTTCCATCTCTATTTATTCCTCTACCCAGTGAGAGGGTTTTTACATTTTATAAAGGATAGCTCTAGACTGAAAAAATATCCAAACAAAAATCTTAGCAAAAATGTTAAAATATTCAGTATAAATATTCAGCCCACAAAATTCCCCAGCCTTTCCATGACACTAAATCTATTTCTATTTCTACTTCTAGATCTAGATCTAAATATATATTATTATACCTGTTAGGCCTTGTCCATGCCCTAAGGCATTTTGTCCTCTGCTTCTCGCCACCCACTTTGCCTTTACCGCACTCACTTACTTTTGTCATTTCCACATCTACCTTTGACCTCCAGCACTAGGGAATGGCAGAGAATGGAACCGGCAAAGGTAAGCAGCGGGCCTGAATGCACATTCAAGATTTGCAAGATTTTGTTACTAAAGCAGGATTTTCTTGTAATAAGAGCAAAGGTATTGACTTACGGGTGAAGAGTTATAAAAAGGAGCATACTCTAATCAATGAAACAATTCAGTAAGGCAAAAAAGAAAAGAAAATCCAGAGAAATCAATTAATAATAATTTATTGAGCACATATGCAACTAAACAACTCTGGGCAGCTCACAAAAATCAAACAAGAAATCACAATAAAATCAATAAAATAAAAAAATAAAAAAACACTAATCCCCTTAATATTTTAAACCAAAAAATGCACTTATGATTCAATCCTTGAAAAGTAGGGTCAGCTTTTGATATACGGGCCAGGGATGATTTGAGTAGCAATTTAAACTGGGAAAGCTGCTGTTAAGCCTTCTGCCCTTTACCTTATTTCTAAGGCAGCCTTCCCCAATCTGTAGACTTCAAGAAAAGTATAGACCAGATTTCAAAATTCTTAAATTCCACAACTGGGATGGCTAGAGCAGGGCTTTTCAACCAGTGGTACGGGTACCACCTGTGGTACACTGGCACCTGGCAGGTGGTACGCAAGCATCCTAGAAAAGTGGTACCAGGGGAGGGAATATTGCAGCCTCTCCAGGGTCTTGTGATTTACATTCAGATGCTTGGCAACTGATTCATATTTATGACGGTCACAGTGTCCCAGGGTCATGTGAAGGGACCAAAACCTGCTGCAACCACCCAGCACACGGGGGGGGGGATAAAAACCAAACACCCCCCACCCCCACTGCCAATTCTCAACTGAAATGCTCACAACAATGAAAACCTCGGACAGGAGGAAGAGCGTGGCGGGCGGGCAGGCGGGTGTCTTGCTTGGCTGTGGCTTGGGGGGCACATTTTCAGTGCCATTGTAACTTCGAACAGTCACTAAGCAAACTGTTGTAAGTCGAGGACTACCTGTACTTTATCACTTTTTTCCTTTTTTTTTTTTGGTCATCAAAGTTTTGACACCTTGCTAGGCGACTGGTGGTACTCGGATGTTGCATATCCTAAAAGTGGTACAATGGGTGAAAAGGTTGAAAAGCCCTGGGCTAGAGAATCGCTCATAAGCACCCTCCATATAGCTTATCACATATATAATTCAGAGATTATGGCTAGAAATGCCTTAAAAACCATTTTCACAGAAGAGCACATCTACTTACATGAATGAAGATTTCATAATCTATATAGGAATGCCAAAAATCTTCCTTCTGTAACCTGGGATCTCGCACCCATACTGTTACAAATTCCTGCAAGAGCATAATAAAGCAATTAATGGATAAAGAGCCTTAACAAAGCTGTCCTCTCTGCTGACTGGAAATGTTTTTGTCACTCTTAAGTTATATGTATTAGTAATAATTCTGAAAGAGGAAAAACAACATTGAAACAAATGTGAAACCAATCAACTACTTTGAAAAGCAATGACTCATCTCTGCTGGTGTGGGGAAATTTCTTGTCAACTAGCCAAGGGGGAAATTCTAAGTTAGATAACACTGTGTATTTCCAACCAGGAAATGTATTTCTTACAAATAAATGTTTTTGTAATTTTCAGTTAGTCTCCTTTAGGCAATAACTGCTGCTGAACTAATGAAAACAAATGCCATTATTTCTTTACAGCTAACTTATCATAATACCCAGAAATAGTAAATACCTTTGCTGATGTTGAAAAACAATGTTTAAACTACTGATTACAAAGGTATTTGTTTAAAAGTTCAATTCCAAGTCTAAGTCTTACACATTAATTGTTTAATACAGTGTTTCTCAACCTTGACAATGTTAAGGCATGTGGACTTCAACTCCCAGAATTCCACAGCCAGCTGGCTGTGGAATTCTGGGAGTTGAAGTCCACATGCCTTAACATTGTCAAGGTTGAGAAACACTGGTTTAATAATAGCAAATTGCAATATAACCAAGAAATGAAGAGCACAGTAAAAAGTTACTGTGGGCACAAAAAGGTCTGATGTGGGCATGAAATAAGTCCAGTAAATGCCATCGTGTGCTGCGCCACAGTGCAAACCCAAATAGGAGAATATCCATGTATCATTAAGTGATATCCAAGCCAAGGTAGATTCTGTAGCCTTGCAGCTTTGGGTCTGTCAGTTAAGCAGCCTTTCCTAGTGGACAGGTTGAAGGAAGGAAAGCAGTCTAACCAGGATGCCAGAGGGAAGTAGACCTCTAAAGAGGGGAGGGGAAGCAACAATGGAAAAAATGTCAGTTAGTTACAAAACATGTTGACAATTCAGCAATTTTCTTCCTCAAATCATATTGTTTACCACTCAATTCCTGCAAGCTCTGTAGTAAAGTGGTTTCCCCCCCCCCCTATTCTTTTCAATCATGTCTGATTATCTCAGAAACTGCCTGGACAGGTTTCTGCAGTTTTCTTGGCAAGGTTTTTCAGAAGTAGTTTGCTATTGCCTCCTTCCTAGGTCTGAGAGAAAGTGACTAGCCAGGTTCATCTAGCTGGCTTCATGCTATCTTCATGCCTTAACCACTATACCAAACTGGTTCCCTAAGAAACCATTAGGTAAGACTAACTCTAATAGAAGGAAAGCAAAAAGTCAAAATAAATTTGGTCTTAAGATTTATATAATGTATATTAAAGATTGGACACTATTTTTAATTAGACATTTTAATAAGTTCTTGACCTATGGGCGTAATGGAGCCTCCCCTATACTGATTGAAGTCAGATGATTGTTATGTGATCATCTCACTTAATCCCTGCTCTCCCCAATGCAGTCATTAAACAAATGTATGGATTGTTAAGCAGACAAGAGTGCCTTGGGCCCAAGAGGAAGCAATGGCTGAAGTAGATCAAGTTCTGCCTAGGGTCTCTCAAGGCATCCCCCATGCCCAAATGCATTTCGTGCTCTGCTTCTCACCTCCCACCTTGTCTTCACCACACTCAAAGCCAGCCACTCCCTTTCGCCATTTCCACCACTCCCTTTGCCTTCAAGCACCAGGAGAACGGCAATAAGTGGACCCAGCAAAGGTAAGCAGCTGGCTTGAATGCACATTCATATTTGCAAGATTTTATAATAATAACAGTAGTACTGATGTACCTGGTATTGGTTTTTGAATCTGGTTTACCATGAAGGAAGAACAGAAATCCGAGGTTACAAAGATACCCAAAAGAGAGAAAGTCTCAATAAACTTCATTCATATATTAATTGCACTAAGGACAATACACAAGAAATAACACCCCTGTTCAGGTTCATAATCAAGTCTCTGTAACGTTCATGGTTATCAAACTATGATTACAAATATACATTCTGTGGATAGACAGCTTAGTTTTAGTTCTTACTCTATTGTTGTAAAGGAAGGGAGGGATGCTTGTGTGTGTGTGTGTGTGTGTGTGTGTGTCTACCAAAGTTATTTAACATTCAAAACACATTTGTTGTACAAATAGAAGCTATGTTTGCAAAGGGGGAAAATGGCTAAGAAGATTAATAGCAACAGGGCAAGAACACTATAATTGTTCACCTACAAGAAAAATATTTCTGTATTACCTATCAGAATCCTGTAGGAAATTAAAATGAGAGGCTTGATTTAGTTGACTAGCATCACTCCTACTGCCAAGTAAAATTGTCAGGGCCCACTGATGGAAATAGAGAAATTTTGTCGAGAACCTCTCTAACCTCTCTATTCACAATTAGGTCAGAAATTTCACTTGGGGAAAATTACTTTAAGAAAGTTTAATATTTTAAAGAAATATACATGCCAAAAGTCTCCAGTTTTTCTTTGCTTTCAAACCTTAAGAAACAGAAAGTGTCAGTGAAATTTCCTCTGGTTGCAACTTTCAAAATCTGCATGGCTCTAAGCATTTCATATTCCGTGAAAAGGACTTTTTGCCATTTCTTCAGAGTAGTAGTTACACAATCTTCTTCACATCCTAAGATGCTACCAAAAATATCTGAAAAGGGGAACTTGAGTTGCACAGTTTATTCATAGCAGTTGGTCGTATGTCCACTTTCACTGAGGCAAAAACAAACTTAGTGTTTTTAAAATGTAACATTGCAGTTCTTACCTGTTTTTCATGCTTTGGAGTCATCTTCAAAGCCGTATGTAAATCAATCTAAAATATAAAAAGTAGTAAACCCTGGTTAAATACAACTGAAGCAATTGGGCCACTTTTTAAACATTTGCAGTTTTCTTGGCATGATTTTGGAAGTAGTTTGCCACTGACTGCATCTTGGGAACTGAGAAAGTTTGACTGGCACAAGGTCACCAAGCTAGCTTTGTGCCTAAAGTGGAACTTGAACTTGGAGTTTACTGTTTTGTAGCCTGGTGTTCTAACTACTATATCAAACTAATTCTCTCATCGGAAATATGCTACCATTGAGAAGAGTATTATATAATTTGCCAGTTCCGTATTCTGGAATAGTCAGAGAAGTGAAATGGAAAGATACACGTTTGAATCTCATAGTTTGCCATGAAGCCGTCTCTAAATGGCTTTGGCCCAATGACTTTTTCTCCTACTTCATAGGATTATTGTAAAGATGAAATAAACTGCCCAAAGCATTTTGGGGAAAAACTAATGTAATAAACAAAAATTGAAAGCACTGTCGCTCCCATGCTTGCTTATTAGATATTTAAAACATTTCCCTGCCACATATCATGCAATGTATACCTGGGCAGTGTGCAAGAAAAAAAAATCAACAAATTAAAATAATAAAACATGTAAAACAATATAAAAAACATACAAATGATATGACATTTTCTGAAAGTAACTCAAAAATACTATTATGAAATCTTAAATGCCCAGGGGAAAAATATATTTTAGCATAAATCTAATTGTACAAAAACTGGTGCATAGTTCATAGGCAGAGGAAAATATATTAAAAAGACAGACTTTAAACGAATGTGATGCTTTTGTGGCCCTTATTCAAAAATCAGATTCCTCTCTCTTTCTTGCAGTCTATATATATATATAAATATGGGAGAGAGAGAAGGGTATGTCTGACTGATGAAAACCAAATAAGGTTAGAAATAGCTATCTCAGTACTCCCTTAATTCTTTGTTAGCATTCCAAATTTTGAAATATATATATATATATATATATATATATATATATATATATATATATATATATGTTTTCTGAGGTTTTCGCGGGTGTTTGTATGTAGGTCTTTGGTCATTCGGGTTCTCTTCCAATTTTACTTCCAATTTTACGCGGGAGAGAACCCGAATGACCAAAGACCTACATATATATATATATATATTCCTTTGTCTTTCTATTTCTATATATAAATCTCTATCAGACCAAACAGGAATGGAGTTTCTCTTAACATTTCCCTTTTTTTGCACTGGGAAAAGTCAAGGAACACAGATAATAACACTCAGACAACCACATGCTTACATGGTTTTCTTGAGATATGAGGTTGAATTTACATGCTCTGCCATGCACACTAGTTTGTCTCCAAATCGTGGTGGGAGATAATACATCAAATGAATCAAAAATTACATTAACCATGAGCAATAGGAAAAAAAGAGGTATGCTATGCCACCCTCTTAGTGCAATCGAAGAGCTCTGCCCTTGGATAAAAGACAACAAAAGACAAATTATGTTGGTTACCCAACATAATTAAACACCCAAAAATATTGGCATGTTTATTATTTCATTAGCCCAAATTTCTATCCAAACTTCACTTTATGTTTTAATTAAACCACATGCTGGCTGAGGAATTCTGGGAGTGAAGTCCACACATCTTAAATTCGCTCAAGTTTGAGAAACACTGGTCCAAAATACCCTTTAAACAGTTGTTACTCCCTTATCTATAGTGAAGAAGCTATGGAAGCTTCCAAACCAGTTTGTAATGAACTATATTAACTCTGCAACTAGCCAAAAACAGCTTCAAAATGGTACAGTGAGCATAACAGATCTGCTGTCTTCACTAGCTGAGCATGTACTCCCAAGCTATAGCATCTTTTTTTATATGTCCTAACCAAGTACCATGTAAGTACTAATCAGATCTGAGTTATTTAAGCTTTCTGAAGATTGCCCAAGAAATAACTATTTTTCAATGGCAAGCTGTTTTTCAATGGCAAGTTACTTTCTATCTAGGTAGCATTGTATATTTAGACTGATTCCTGGCCTGTCTAACAGAATGTTTCTTCCAGACTTGACTTTTTTGTAGCCCTCCTGAAAATGCCAGTGTTGAGACATAGGATCTTGTACATGAAAAGTACATTCTGACCACTTCTTCTACACTCAGTGAAAGCAAGAGCTTTTTGCAGAAGTGTTCAATCACATTCTTTGCAAATGAAGCTTAATTATGTTTGCTTAGTCCTTAGTGCTGAAATGATTAAAAACACATCCCAGCCAGTTTTCAGCTGAGTGCAGAAGTAAACAAAATGTTCAGGAACTGAATTAAGAACATAAGCAAGCAGAGTTTTAAAATAAAACACAGGTACTAGAACAAGCAATGCTTTATGACCATAAAGCAAAAATTACTAATGCCACTGTACATCAAGTTTCCAGCAGGCTGGTACAATAATGATTATGAGACACGAGCATGTTATTCATCATATCTTGTGACACACTAAGTATTTATCATGAGTACTGCACAAAGTAATTTGGAAAATTGTTGTTAGTCCCCCTCCAAGATCTTCTGATATCTCATTTCATGATAGCTCTCCAACCAGTTTCATTGGGGGGAGGGAGAAAAAAATAATTGCATGATGGCCAAAGTAAGTTCAAGAATCATCTCAAATAGGTCCCCATTTTTTGTGGCACTGGGGACTGGTTTCCTGGAAGACAATTTTTTCACACACTGGGTAGAGGACAATTTTAGTTTCGCTCGCTTGCCTGTCGCTCATCTCCAGCTGTGTGGCCCCGTTCCTAACAGGCCATGGACCTATAAAGGAACCTCCACTTATGCCCATTAGATGTAAAATTGAACTTGCAGAACAGCAGTTCAAGCTAGTCTTAATTTTGGTTCACATAACATGGCAAAACCATGGTCAGAACAGAAAAGGTCCAAAACAAGCCATGGTTTCTGTGGGTTAAATTTGTCTTTACTACAATCTTAAATGACTTTCCAATTCTCATGTAATGCTAAGTTCAACCACAACAGATCTCATGAGCTGTAGCAACATAACTGATAACAGTTTAATGCTGAATGGTAAAATTAGCTTTTATATTGGTTAGACAGCTATTGTATCTCTGTATCCTGAGCATGACCTCCTGACCTAGTTTTTTTTCTCTTTTGTTCCTTGCCAGAGTGGAAAGATTGCCTAAACATATCTTTCTGAGCTGCTTTTCTTCACTGATTCCTACAGAGTCAGCTGCAAGTTAACAAACTCAGCTATTACCTTAACTTGTTGATTAGAAGGTTTGGTCCATTTACAGCTATGTAAAATTGACAATGCCTTAATCAGTTTCATCCTAAAATCTTTTGTTTGCCTCTTAAGTACTAAGTAAACAGCTGGTGCTAGCACTTCTTTTCAATGCATAGTCCCCAATGTATGCTTTCTTGCAATATCCACATCTCCAATGAGTCTAAATATAAACATTAATTTCTGTTTGATAATTATCCCAGCATTGGGATTAGTATTTCAAAGAGCAGGAAAGTGGTGTATGGGAGGATGGAGGCTATAAAGACTTACCTTTCCCCCAACTTCTTGTGTTCCAAAAACCTTTCCCAGTTTTAGGTTCACCCTACTATTTGGGGCTCACTTGATTGACTGGGATCATATTTTTCTGGTACTGTAAATACAGATAATCCTTGGCTTACAAACATTTGTTTAATAACCATTCAAAGTTACAGTGGCACTGAAAAACATTATTTACAGCTGATCCTTGTACTAACTTCATCACAGTGCCCCCATGGTCACATGATCTGATTTGTGCACTTGGCAATAATCGCACATTTACAGTGGTTGCAGCATCCCACATCACAGGATTGCCACCTGTGATCTTCCTAGCCAGCAAACAAAGTCAACAAGGCAAACCAGCAGAGAAGATCTTGCAGTCATGTGATGACTTGCTTAATAAAGATTGACATCAAGTACTGGCAATAGTGCTTATATACTGCTTTATGATTGACATCAAGTACTGGCAATAGTGCTTATATACTGCTTTACAGTGCTTTACAGCCCTCTCTAAGTGGTTTACAGCAGGGCTTTTCAACCAGTGGTACGGGTACCACTTGTGGTACATTGACACCTGGCAGGTGGTACGCGACCTAGAAAAGTGGTAGTGGGGGAGGGGAATGAGCTGAACCGGTGGCAGCACCGCACAAGCCTGAGTGAGAGACGGCTGGAGCTGCAGGGCTGTCAGGGCTCAGCGGAAGCGCCAGGATCAGCGCCAGGCTCCAGCTGGAGCTCGGCGCTGATCCTGGCGCTTCTGTTGAGCCCAGAAGAAGCACCGATCAGCTGGAATGTTGCAGCATCTCCAGGGTCTTGTGATTTACATTCAGATGCTTGGCAACTGATTCATATTTATGACGGTCACAGTGTCCCAGGGTCATGTGAAGTGACCCAAACCTGCTGCAACCACCCAGCAGACGGGGGGAATAAAAACCAAACACCCCCCATCCCACCCCCGCTGCCAATCCTCAACAGAAATGCTCACAACAATGAAAACCTCAGACAGGAGGAAGAGCGCGGGCGGGCGGGCAGGCAGGTGTCTTGCTCGGCTGTGGCTTGGGGGGCACTTTTTTCAGTGCCATTGTAACTTCGAACAGTCCCTAAGTGAACTGTTGTAAGTCGAGGACTACCTGTACTTTTATCACTTTTTTCCTTTTGGGGGGGTCATCAATTTTCTGACACCTTGCTAGGCGACTGGTGGTACTCGGATATTGCCATATCCTAAGAGTGGTACAATGGGTGAAAAGGTTGAAAAGCCCTGGTTTACAGAGTCAGCATATTGCCCCCCAACAATCTGGGTCCTCATTTTACTGACCTCGGAAGGAGAGAAGGCTGAGTTAACCTTGAGCCAGTCAGGATTGACCTGTAGCAATCAAGAAAATTAGCCAACAATACTGCATTCTAACCACTGTGCCACCACACCTCTTTGAACCACTACCTGTATATTTAGGGCAATTTCTTAATAAGCTTTTTAGAAGATTTATTACCATCCTGGCATCTCCTTTTAGTGTTTTTGTTCTCTGGTATCCATCCTCCAATTCTAAATTGAGCATCCACACAGAGATGAATGACAATCTCTATGAAACCATTTTCTAGTGGAGTGTGTCTATGTGGAATCCAACTCAATTTAGAATAAAAGTAGTAAGCACTGCAAACCTTGTAAGATTCTAGTAGACAGAAATGATTTTATCTACAGTTTTTTCATAAGATACCCTCTGTAGAAAAATGAACACAAACAAAGATGGAGAAGCTGCCAGCTACAGTTCTCTCAGAATAGAGAACAACAGGACTTGAAAAGTATATTTTACACTGCATAGGTGATCATGGAAATGGTTGATATTTGTACTGTGAGAAAGAAATGCTATGGTAAAATATTCACATTTCTCTCAATCACAAAACTGACCAGGAAGTTGATCTGGGCCAAATAATAACTCTTAACTTTTTTAAAAAAAAAAATCTTTCTTTTTCTTGGTAATTTGCCATTGTCTCCTAGGACTGGAAGTGGAAGACTGGTCCAAGGTCACACAGCTGACTTTGTGTCTAAGGGAGGATATTGTATAACTCACTATCTCCCAATTTTTAGTCAGGTGTCTTAATTATTACACCAAACTGGGCCTCACCTCGACTTAATCTCTGGTCCTATACAGATTCTCAAATTTGGAATTTTTTTGATGTATGGACTTTAACTCCCAGACTTACCCAGCTAGCATGATGAATTCTGGAAGTTGAAGTCCATACATTTAAAAGTTTCCAAGTTGAGTAACAATGCTCCAGTATATAAAGCAGAGGAGCAGATGTGACTCCTTTAGATCCCTAGTAAAAAAGCATAAAAGAGAAAATTCAATTGTTTTCAGGAATTATATTGATTTTAGCTATATACTGCATTACAGTATCTTTAGCTAACCTTATAAATTAACATTATAAATAAATAAAAAATAAATAGCTTAAATCATAATTTTAGTGTTTTTAAACAATTATAATTTTAAGTTAATTTAAACAAATTAATTTTATATGCTCCTCATTGTTCCTTTATATTTATTTAGTTTTCATTCTTAGCTTATGCTATTGAATAGATTTAAGAAATAAGCAGGGCTATCGCCAAAGAATTCTGTACTTCCTATTTGCAAAATATTCAGAGAGGATATACTCATGCAGTGTGGTATTAGGACTAAAAATACTATGAATTTCTTTTTGTAGACAAGCAATTCTTAAAACATTTCTGGACATTGTTTTGGAGGTATAAAGATATTTATGGTTGAAAGTTATTTAATCTCTCATTAGGTTCTATCCTTTCCACCCCAGAGATACCAAAAGAGTGATGTTAACATAATTCAACATCATATATTCATGTGACAACAGCAAATAGCATTTTCACATTCTTTTGGTAGTTAGCAGAGAAACAGTCATTATTTGTGTTGTGGTTATGCAAGATAACTGACTAAGGAAGTAGAACCTCAAGGCAAAATAAGCTTCAAAGGAGAACAAAACATTTTTAAGTAGGTAAATTATATTGAATTACTGTATCTCTGTATCCATTCATCATTGAGCTTTTTCATAATTCCTAAAACAGAAAATAAATATCAAAACAATCTTTTGTAAACCAGCAGAAATGAAAACAGGAAGACATGTGCTAGCCATGCAGTTAGCTATCTTTCAGGTGAGTGTGTACCTCATTGTATAATATATAAAATAGTACAGTAAAGTGAGAAATATCTTAGCTATGTTACTTTGCAATCCCTGTTGTTTTTTTAAAATTATTTCTGATGGTTGGACAGTGCTAAAGGTAAAGAGGTATCTATAATTAAAAGGTATTTTGGGATATAAACTGTTTCAAGTCCTCCCCTCAAAGTGCCACTATAGGGCATTGCATGCCAAAATTAGACAAAGGGAGAATTTATTCCCCCCATGCTATCACACCGCTGAACACCTAATTCTCACAGTACTATCTAATTCTATGTACATTTACCCATATTATAATGCCATAGCATTATTATATTCTTCTTATCTGCATTATTATGATGCTTTGCATGCACACGGACAGCTTCTGCACAGGAGACAAACTCCCTTTGTGTCTAATCACACTTGGCCAAATAAAGCTATTTTATTCTGTTCCATTCCGTTCCGTTCCAATAAAACACTATACTATGGATCAACATACTAAGACCCCTAGGCTGTGGATTTACACTAACCTAAGATGGCTCCAATGACTTAATCTACATTGAACAGTCTACAGCAGTGGTTCTCAACCTTTTTAATGCCGCGACCCCAACCGGTCGTAAGTCGAGGACTAAACCGGTTGTAAGTCGAGGACTAAACCGGTCATAAGTCGAGGATTACCCAACCGATCGTAAGTCGAGGACTTTCCCTGCCCGGGAGCGCCGCGCATGTGTGGTTCTGCCCCCTGCGCTGGCCGAGGCGTAGCTGGCAAGCGGCAGAGATGGAGCAGGCCGACCACCAGCTGGCCCAGCCCAAGGGAGGTAAGGCACCTGCCGGAAAAGGGGGAAAAAAATGGCGGACAAAAAAAATGGCAGACAAAATAAATGGCGGACAGCCTTGCTTGGCGACCCCCATGAAATGGTCGATCGACCCCAAATGGGGTCCTGACCCACAGGTTGAGAACCAGTGGTCTACAGGGATCTTCTCCAAGTATTTGTTGTTGTTGCTGTTCTTGATTTCTATGCACATAGAGCTCCAGTTCCCTCCTGGATTGGACCAGGTGTGAACTGCAAGCTGAAATATAAGTGTATCAATTTCAAAGAAAAGTTATCAATAAATCTATTGGTGAGAACTGAGACTATTGTAGATGCATTATGGCCCTTAGCCTTTTCTAATTTGTAGCATATTTGAAAATTTGAGAATATGTAGGTGCTCTCTGATATTTACTCCCTGGCCAAATGTATCAAGTTATCAAGCTTATAGAGGTGTCAAGTCACATATTACGCATTTATTGGAGAGTAAACCGATGAAAGCACTCTCTAGTGCAGGGCTTTTCAACCTTTTTACCTGTTGTACCACTTTTAGGATAAGGCAATATCCGAGTACCACCAGTTGCCTAGCAGGGTGTCAAAAACTTGATGATAAAAAAAAAAGGAAAAAAATGATAAACTATAGATAGTCCTCGACTTACAACAATTAGCTTAGTGACTGTTTGAAGTTACAACGGCACTGAAAAAAGTGACTTATGACGATTTTTCACACTTATGACTGTTGCAGCATCCCCAGGGTCATGTGATTTACATTCGGATGCTTGGCAACTGATTCATACTTATGACAGTCACAATGTCCCAGGGTCATGTGATCATCTTTTTGATAAGCGAAGTCAATGGCCAGGGGGTTGTGGCCAGCTCATCACTCAGGTTGTGGGGTGCCTGTGGGGGTGCAGGCAGGGATGTGGGGGGGATCCGTGGGTCTCTGGTGGAGGGGGGTGGGACAGGCGTAGGCGCCTTCCCTCCCTCTCTCCCTCCCATTGTCCCTTCTTTCCTTCCTTCATTCCTTCCTTCCCTCTTTGTCCCTTCCTCCTTCCTTCCCTCCCTTCCATTGTCCTTCGCT